TAGGATTGCTATTTGCAGCATCAGAATCCTTTTAACTATCGCCCATGGCTGAAATAAATAACTTTGGGCTCTTCTGTCATGAGCATTCCCAGACATAATGCCTCGCTGAGCTTCTCGAGTAGCAGCAAGGCCTCCTGTCATCAGGTGATGCCACTTGGCAGATGAATCAGTGGCCAGAATATGACAGCATAATAAAGGCACAGTGACTTTTTTTTTTTAACTTGAGGTGCTCCAAACTAATAGTAGCTCTGTGCTACTCTGACTGATGGTGCAACACACAATTGAAGTGAAGGGATAAAATATCAATAACGAGAGGGGTCTTTTATGTCCTGTAAAACGTCAGTATGGGAATGGTGAAAGGTAAACAACCTTCCCCAAATCAGCCGCAAAGTGTGCACAGAAAGTTTGGAGGGCATGTGAATGTTTTGGAGAGAGGCTTCCAAAGGGAAGGTTGATTATGGTGATTTTAATTACAGGGTTAGACGTGGTGCAGAGAGAGGAGCAGATACCTGAAAAATGAAGGTCAAACTGCTGTCTTTTGAGGTACTGTTGAATGCCCACAGCCTGCTGGCTCTGACTGCATTCTGCAGCTGTGTGACTTGCTCCATGTACCACTTTGTACATGTACAAATGCATAAAACCAGAAGAGAGCAAAGCCCTGTGTTTTATCTTGTAGTATTCAGACAGTCACTGCATCTCAGTGACCAGTTCCTGGGTTTGGAAGACTGCCTCTTGATGCATAATCTTTCCTCCTGCATTTGAAATCAACCAGGACAGACTAATCCCAAGATTAATTCGGATCAGATGAAGGGCTGTTTTCATAGCAGATGCTCTCATATGACTGCTGAGTTCCTCCTGTGATAGAGCAAGGCCACAGGGCAATGCAGATGGCAGGACAAATCCTGTTTGTCTCGACTAATTGTCAAGTGCTAGTTCCTTTCCCCCCTGCAGAAAACAAACCACTCCAAGCATCCAATAAGAGACCACGTTGGTTGAAATTCTGACCTCAGCTTGTATTTACATCTCCTGTGAATAATGTGTTGCACTAAGTTTTGCATTAGTTCATGTTTAACTTGCTGAGTAGCGCTTTGTGTGGTCCTGATGCCGGCTACAGGAGGGGACTGCCTGCTGACTGCCCCAAGGATTGCAATGCAGAGCTGCACACCTGCAACTACGCTGGAAAGATGAGACACCAGATCTAAGAGCTACCCTCAAAAATTACTTAAGCAGGCCTAATGAGTAAGTCCTTTGACAGAAATTGATACTATTGAGACTGCTCTGTAAAATCAGAGCAGTTTACGTCACTGTCGGCTTTGGATGAGGTGCAAACAAAGCAAACAGAGCTTTTTTTAAACAGAGCAAACAAGTTTATACGTGAGGTGTAGCTGTTATTTCAATATTTAGATGGGAGATCTTACTGACATGTCCTTCCGATGTAAAATGTTGTTACAGTTCCTATGACAACTGTTCCACTCTCCTCTGGAGCATGGGCTAACGATAGTGTTTCATTACATGAGCATGTAACGCTGGGCGCTGTGACAGCCTTGTCATCTCCGCTCTAGTGTTTGCTCCTAAATGGCATTTAGCTCCTAAATGGCATTTGCTCTTGTATTGTGCAGAACATCAATTGGAGTGACTGACCTTCGCTGGGCTTACTGCCTGCCAACTTCCCAGCTTCCTGCTTTTCATTAGTAAGCTCACTTTCTACCAAAATACATTTGGTAGGATGAGTTTTATTGACAAAAATTTCTAGCAATTTATTTCTGTGGTAGTACTTCTATACACTGACTAACATTAAACGATAGTTTCTTAACAAATACACAGAGTACTAATCTGTATCAAACCCATCTGCTGACAAAAATTCATGTGTATAGCAGCCAAACCAGACTACGCAGCAGATTCCTGTAGTTACTTCTTAGGAAAAATTATAACAAATTGAACAGATATATTAAAAGACTTTATTCACAATAGAGAATTTTTTACAAATATAAGTTCTTAAAAATTAAGCATCTTGATCTATTATGTATTCCATAATTTCAGTTTATATAAAGATGAAAAGACTAAATGGACTATGTACAAATCAAAAACAACTTAGATGCATGATAGAAAATGGGTATGTATGATGAAGTCAACATAGAAATAGTGAGCCATTGCAAAAATCTGTGTACAACCAACACATATGCAATACTTATCCCACAAACAATCAAAACATTTTTTCCCCCCATGAAACAATGTGGGTGCCCTTTAAAGTGATTTACCTCTTAGTACTTAACATGTGCAGATTGAAATGCTTTATTATGCTACAAAGAAATGGAAAAAGTATAGGCAGTGTGTTTATGCAAAGGTCATCCTCCCCACCCCCCCCAGTAAAGCAATGTCTTTCTAATTTCTTTTGCTCTTATGAATGACTGGGAACATGAAGTGACCACCACTAGCCACTTCCATGCAGCTAGTTCAGTGAACGGGAAATAAAAAGCATGTCATCTCAGCAATCTAACAAGCAGTTGTAAGTCCTGACTGTTTGCTCTAACTTTGGTGTTTTGAGGCTATTAAAAAAAAAATAAAAGGAAGAAAAAATCAATATATTCTCAGTTTATGAAAAGCTTTTTTTCTTACAGTTGACAGATCTACATGTTGTACAATCTTCTTGTCTACTTACATTAGTTTACAAAAGGTACAGTATAGTGCAGTTTGTACATACAACCTGAATACCAATACCAGTCACATCAAATTTGTGCTCTTTCAAATAATTTTAACTCCTAAACTAAAAAAAAAAAAAAATCATACTACAACTCTGTATTACAAGGAAACAGTCATGAATCTTGCATTTAAGTACACAGGACCCAATGCACACAAGAGTTGTGTGTTTGGAGCCTGCTTTTTGAAACACGGAGAATAGCTATCTGGTTCTCCACTGTTTCTCTTCAGCTGGTTAAGTAGAGGCAAGATCACTAGACACATCTGGGGAAAGCATACTGTGGTTAAGAAAACCATGTAAAAAAGAGGCTTACAAAACACATTTCTGAAAGACTGTTTTTGTCTGAGCTACTGTAGTTATTTAACTGATATGAGGCCTACAGCAGCACATGTGCAACCCTGTGGCAGGCAGCAGCAGACGACATATTAAAGATAACTAAGACAGAAGTAATTATTATTACTTTTTGGTTAAAGAGGGAAGATAATTTTTGTTTTTATTCCACAGATAAATTTTCTCTGTGGTACTGGGGGGTGGGGGGGGAAGCTACCTTCTTATAAATACAATTTCTGAAGAAACAGAGTGAAATATTATAGTCTTCCACTACAAATTCTGGAGTATCAAAATCAGCAGGAGTTCTGCTTTTCAATAGAGGAGAGGCAAGACTTCATCCTTGCTCAGTCAGGTTCAGAAAACTGTTACTGTGACATGAGGGAATCCATACTTAAATTATTATTTTCTTTTTTTAAAAAAGCAGTAAAGCAAAAAGTCTTGAGCCAATGTGCTAGTTGCATGTAAGCAGGCTTTATCTGAGGCAGATGCACAGAGATTTGTATCCATTCTTCCAGCTCTGGGTTGCCCAGGTTCAGAAGGGTACCACTATTAACTTCCACATACAAATGCACAGCTCTACCCGTCCTGTGATGGAAGGATCAGCATCACTGAAGATCCTCTTGCCTTGCCCCCTACATAAATGTCTTTGGCAGCTCGTGTGGCCCATGCCATCTTGTCTGTCTGCAGGGGAAGCAGAGAGGCAGTGCTGTCTTTACAGACTCAAGAGGGTCAAGTTTATGGGTCAGCCTCCAGCTGCTATATATAAAAATGTAATCAGTTATCTTTGCTCTTGGCTTCTTCCTAACGAAACCTATATCACAGACTGCTATTGGCATAGAAAAAATATATGCTGTAATGCCTAAACAAAGGTGCTTCCTCAGCTGTGATTAGCTATGTTGGACATGTGAGCTATATTACTGAATACTTTTAAAGAAGATTACTGTTCAGAACCATATTTGTTTTGCTGCAGCCAGATCAGTGAATAATGTGCTTTCTCAGAATGGGAACCCAGGTGTTACACCCTACTCAAAATATATGAAAGTCATCCTGTCATTAAATGAAAACAAAGGTAGACTTAATAATCACGTAAACCACTCCAAAATGCTCTTAAGTAGAAACAGGAATTAATGGTGCCTGTTTTTTTTTCCCTTTGGTGATGCTACAAAGTAAAACATTTTTGGCAAAGCTGTTACCTTTCTTAGTAAACCAGGCCTCTATCCTAAGGAATCTTAAGCACGCTGTGTTTCTGTCACTGAGAGAAGACAGACTCAGTGCTTTCTGAAAGCTTTAGTTCTACACTAGATAATTTCCTCTTTGAATTATTATCTTCTTTTAAGGAGACAAGTTTTCTTCAAGGCATCTGGACATCTAATTTAATTCCTGTTGATACATTAAATTGCTTTGTGACAATAAACTACCAAGACTGGTATCAAGTCTGAACCTTTCTGAATGTTTGAGAAAGTCCCAGAAAACCAAACAAATTGTCTCTGGTATAATTCTCAGCTTCCAGAAAAATGTCATCAAGTATTTTTTTTGTCTTTTTACCATCCAACCAAATGAAAGCTACTAGACTAAATATATAAAGAAGGTAAGACTCCCGTTCTTAATATGAAATGGCTATCTTATTTTAGTCTGTGTTAGCCTGACTAAAGACATGAGAATAACACCACTTGGAGAAGGGAGGAAACAATTTATTCTATTACAACATTTCTAATCAAAACCTGAAAAACTAAAGTCTGCTAACTAATGTGCTAAATTCTTAAAAGCTAAATTTAGTCTAACTTCAACACGTACTGCAGTTTCAGAGTTGTGTCTGCATGAGATGAAAGTATTCGTATGTAGACTTCATTGACAATGATATACATCAGATACTTTGCCAAGTAATAATAGACCCGCATAAGAAGAGGCTGTCACAGTCACAAGATTTGTCTTGGATGACACACAAAACAAATTAACATAGAACAAAAAAAAAGACAAAAAAAAGCTCTTTATACTTAATTCAATATGGCTTTTTGCAACATGGCAAAATATTACAGCTTAAAGCAGACATCTCCTCACAGAGGAGAAAAGAATTTTGCAGTCAAATTAAAAGCATAACAGGAAACAAGTAACATGCAGACCCTCTGCTCTTTTTGGCCAAGATGACACTGCAGCCTAAAAAACTCTGGAGATATGTCCTATTTCTCTTCTAAGAAGTGGTTCAGCTGGGTAAGAGGAATGAAGTTTTACCATAATCAGTTGAGGTCCATTCATAAACATTTGCTGTTAAAGAAAACAGACTGCAAAATACTTGATTTAAAAACTTAACTCAGGAATTTAAAACCAAATTATGTGCCCAAGTCCTGGAAAGAAACATAAGGAATGAAACAAAGTATAAGTTAATCTTCATCTGTTTCTGGTTTTATTCTTTATTTTCATCATCTTTGTGAAGAACAGGGAGAGGATGAGCCTCTGTGTTGAAGACCCAGTGTTCGAATGGAAGAAGATCATCTTCTGAAAACAGCAAATACAAGTACCTGGCAAGAAAAAAAGCAGCAAATGTGACCACATCAGGGAAGTGAAACTACAATAGTTTTCAGGAAAACATAAATACCTGATTTCACTAGATGAATGCAACAATGGAAACAGCTGACCAAACACAAAGCACAGTAAGTCCCAGCATCACAATGGTTAGCACAAAGTTTTGGGGCTACTCAACTCAGATTGTGCTCAAGGACAACAGCAACTGGAGACCAACAAAAGAACGCCTCTATCTTGATAGAGGACATAGAAATTTAGGCTGTCAATGTTAAATATTAGTTCACTTCACTTCCATTTCGTCCTTGGTAATTACGTATTGTTTTGATAATATACAACTATAGTATTTTTTTCCTCCTGAATGTCCACATATATCAAGGTATAGGAATGAAAATATGTAGTCCAGTCCCATCTTACTTCTGAGAACAATTGGTGGCTTAGGATTTTTAAAAAGGATGTACATAAATGTATTTATGATACTTCATTTACTTGAGTATTACACTTTCTGTTGAAATGGCATGATTGCTTCTTTCTGGTCTTTGCAACTTTCTCTTGCACAACAAAAAAAAGTGAAGAGACCAAGAGAAAACTTGCTTTATTTTGTTAAAAACTTAGGAGATGGTGATAAATAACAAGCTTTTGGTTTTCCTCTTAAAAGGCCATGCGAGCTTACCATGCAAGTTGACTTCTTTTTTTTTTTTTTTTTTGTTTTTTTTTGGTCTGTAGTTTTAAAATGAAAAGTATGCAATACAAGCCTGTTAAGTCCTCTGTCTACTCAATTTATTTCACTAGTGTTGGCATATATAATCAGATCCTATCAAAGGTAGGAGACTTAATTTGTCAACAAAGACTATCAAGTACCTTTATCAGAAGTAAAGATAATTTCCAGAAGTCACAGAATTTAGTTTATTGATTTTTTTTAGGACAAAAAAAAGGCAATTTGGCTTCCCATCACCTAAGAAAAAAAGCTCTACTATTTTGTTCAGGTTTTTTTATGTGAATGTCAAGGGTACTAACAAAAAATCTTACCTGTAAAGATGATACATAGAACTACTTCGTATTAATGAAAGCCAACTTTGTCAACTTACTTGAGTGTCTCTGAAAGGAAGAAACTTTGCTGTACATCATCATGGCTTTCATGATTGTTATAAACATCTCTAATGCCAGAATAGCCACCATCTACTCTGCAATGTTTTTCCAGTGCCTGAGGGGGGAAAAAAAACAGTGGGATTAACAAGATGAATCATCTCTCACTTTTTCTTTGTTTAACAAAAAAACTAGCAAAAAAAAAGTCTTTTTTTTTTTTTGATAAAGAGATGAAAAGAAGACAAAGCTCTAGATAGAAAACTCTTTTTAAAAAAGACATAGGCACACATGTCTAATTTTACATTCAGGAAAAGAAGCAAAATGATAAATTAATAAAAGAAGTGAACACAAACCTGCTTTTAGAAGGAAAGATATATGGATGTAAAGATATATGAATTTTCACTTATTTTCTTTTTTCCTCTTTTTAATAGGAATAACACTAGCTTCTCTCTCACAGGTTCGTCCTATCAGCCTTCAGATATCGTGTCACATACACCTCACTTGGTCATATTTTAGTGCTTACAAATTATTCTGATAGAATTTAATACCATGATAAAGAGCAGTCTCTTCCTTACCTCCTGTAAGTTGCTTTGAACAAGGAAAGGCAACTCCCCATTTTCTATGCAAGTTGTTTGGCTTCTCTTTGCAACTACTTCATTTTTCAATGGGAAACCTCTGATACGGGGCTGTGACTGATTTTTTTTTTTTTTTTCTGCAGTAGGTACTATTTTTCTTTGATAACTTTCAGAAAAAAAGCTTTGTCTGTTACACAGCAGCAGACAGAAAGCTGACGTGTAGCTGGACTTAATGCAACATGTTTCAGATGCAAGAACAAGAATGTTTTTCTCTAATTTCCAAACTGTGTATTCAGTTAAAAGGTATAAACCAGATGATTGATTCCTATTTCACAATTAAAAGGAGCACATGGACCACCTAAAAATATAATTTATTTTCTGCCCAGAGAAATGTTTTATATCATCAGCTAATTTTGAAGGAGAAAAAGGATCAGACAAAGGGTGTATACAGAAGAGCAAAAACCATGTACCTGGTGCTGGAAGGTTAGAAGATATATACAGTTATACTATTTAACAAACTTTGCTGCTTTTCTTTATTTTAGACAGCTGTTTGCATTAGAAAGGTGGTACATATATGACTACATATGAGCCATAACTTCTTTAAATAGGCTGCTATCCAATACTTCATTTGAATATTACTTCTCTTATCACTGCTTCGCTTAAAAATACTCATTCATATTTTCCTTTATAATTGACCTAGTTAACAAGGTTGAAAGTATTCTTAGTCTCTTCATTTTTCTTATTCTGTTTTATAATAACTCTCTGGTATCATGCAGTGTAATAAAGGATTGAAGAGAAGCTCAGATGATTATATTTAAAACAACTCATTATTCAAAAACAAATATAGAAAATGCTCTTTAGCCCTAAATAACTTCTCACAATGAAAATGGTGGTAAGCATGATGGATTACTAAATTTACTCAGGACCACACTACTCTGAAACTTGGTGCTTCCTGTGGAGACACGTATTAGAGCAAAAACTTTCAGGCAGAAATACCTGGAGCTTTATCAAACCCCCAATGGAGAGATGGAAGACAACTATTTCCTCCGTTTGTGAAGTTATTACAAATATCACTGAAGGGATTACAGGACGTGTAGATTTTATGTAGGGAAGATGCTGCATTTCAAACCACATACAGCAAAAAGCTATGAAAAGGCAGAAGATATGTCTAAAACAAGCAAACAGGTAGAATAAGCATTTTCTGATGACAGATGGGACTAAAAGTCACTAATAATTACTGAGGTATCCCTCATCTCCACCTGCTCTGAAGGCTGTTCGAGATCTGTGTTTTGCTGTGAGCAGATACCCTAAGCGTCCTTGTTTTTGTTAGAGTCCCTGCAGCTATATGCATATATTTAGCTTGCATGTCAGGCTCTCTATAGTTTCCACCGGAGAGTAAGCTGCCTATTGTATATTTAAAAGCCATTTTTCTCCAGGAGAGATCCTTTAAAATATAACAGGCCTATTTGTCTTTTCTTATGTGTCTTTAGGTTCTTTAATTTTCCTGGACACTTTTACTAAGTGACAAATATACTTAAGTTTAAACAAGTAATTTCCCCTGGCTGGCACTCCTTCCTTCTTGTCTACTTCAACCTGCAATGAATTCAAAATGCTGAATCTGTGTCTGGATTTTCAATGTCAAACACAAGATTATGTTTTCTGAGGCACAGCAGAAGGAGAACTTGAACTTGAAGGATAAGGCTATCATTCAAGGAAACATCTGCATTCTAAACAGGGTGAGGTAAAATAAAAGCAAATTGCATTTGGGGTTTATGTGCATGTAGTGAGAGCCTTCTTTATGAGTTCATGAAAGGGAGACACTGTGTAGGTAACTGAGCACACTGCTATGATGTAGACTAAGAGGTTAACTTAACTTGCACCATATGTTTGCCATCCGGTGGTATCTACTTGATGCAGATGTGAAGCATCTTGCCCCTCAAAGCTACTTTCCACTTAACTAAATGAACAGGACATCCACATGAGGCATTAGTATGATAAGAAGGGCTCTTGGCTGTCACCCTCCTTTAACTGTCAGTAACAGCCTTTTGTGCCCATAGCTGCAGTTCCCAAGTCCAGTGATGTTCACATTGACAGTGGGGTAGTGGAGGGTGTGAAGAAACAATCAAACACATTTTAAATTAGTAGTTCTTAGAAAATGAGGGTGGCTAAGATCAGTTATGCTACAGTAATGGAAAACATCAAGCAGAGTGAAAACTGGCTGACAGGCTCAAAGTATCACAAAGGGAAAAAACAAAGGAAGTGCTATGAATTCAAAATATGTGCCGCATTTATAATGCAGAAAGAGAGACTTTCATGAGCTAAGCTGATAAAACCTTTCTGGCTCAGTAACAGTAGATATTGCTGTTGGTCATAACAGCATTTTCCCCAGCTGCTGAAGTACATACAGAATGATCTTGGACTCAAATTAAAGCAGCAGAGTGAGTTTCTGAAGAAAAAATGGAGAGGCTAGGACATCTTTTTTAGTCTATAAAAGTAAGAGAAAGAATTAATAGACTTGTTGGAGAGTTTAGAAGTCATGACCTATAGAGCAGCCTCCTTTTCTACTACAAGGGCACTGGGAAACAAACCTAACAAGTTCTTACTGCCAGTGCCATTAGTTGAAAATGGACATGAAACACCTGAAGAACAACTTTTTTAGGCAACAAGAAATGGTTTGATTGTGGCCCCTTTTTTCTTGTTTCAATCTCAGTTTCCTCTTTGTGCAACAGGAGTTGGTAATTAAAACATCCATAGTCAGTGGTCAGGGACTTCCCCAAGAACAAAAGGGTGAACTGACATGCTCTCTGGAGTAAGAGTGTGCAGAATTTATGAAATACTTGTGGTAAGCTATTGTGACACATGCTGGAACAAAAAAAAAAACCCCAAAAAACCCCCAGTATCAGGTGCAGCTGTACAGGCTATAAGCCTCAGGGAAGAAGAAAAGAAAAAAAGATATTTGAAACCTACAACTGACTATATAATTTCTGCGAAGCTGTAAGATTTGTTTTTGTGAAACACACAACTGCATATTAGGACAGTGGAAGATGGGCCCATACAGAACGGGACCAGCTGCATCGCCCACACATGGACTCTAATCCACTATGTTAGAGCCAGACGAGAGTAACCACCAGAATGTTAAACAAGGAGCACATGGGCAGTGCTAAGAAGGTAAATGAGTGTACAAACTCGAAATAAACACAAACAAACTGAACCAAAAGGCTGAAGAATAATAATAAGGAAACCATTTCAATTGTTTATAACAATGTTATCAGTGTGGGCAGCAACAATGAGTCAGGAGAAACATCTCCTGGAGAAGGAACGCTTGGCACTGGTGAAGCCTGGTGGGATGACTTCCATAAACAGTCATTGTAAATATTCCAATCATAATCTGCTTGGGAATATTCCAGTAGTAAAATGTGTGCCTATGGTTCATGGTAGTGAAGAAGAAAGTAAGGGAACAGCACTTTAAATTAGAGGTTTAAAAAAAAAAATTGCGTTGGAATCATTAATTCAGAAGCATATTGTTTCAGGGCCGATAGAGCCACCACCTGAGAGAAGCAAATAAAATGTCCTAAATAACTGCAGTCTACCTAGCTGAATACAGTGTTGACTGCAGATATGGAATTGCTGTGAATATTGAAAGTATAGTTAGGAGTAGGAGTATAGTTACTGCTAGCAGGTATTCTTTCATGGAAAGCAGATTTTACCATAGATTTAATTTTTCAAGAGTATCTAATCACCAGACTTGAAACGCTCTTTTTTCACAACACTCAACAACGTTTGGACAATATTTGAGATACGCTCAGTATCTCATGCATTAAATGAGAATACAATTACAGATCTTGGTGGCTGTTGAGGGAGCCAGGTAAGTGGTCAATGTCATGTCGCAGCCAGGTATGTGGAGTCATAACCCAGCAACAGCTCTCTAGCAGGGTCCCTCGAGGATAAGAAATTGCATGACACAAGTCCACATGTTCTTCCCTTAGTAATGAGCAACATTCTACAACTAGCAGTGTAGGCCCATCCAAGAAAGTTATAATCATACACTCCTAGAAACAAGAGGTGTTGGGCAAGCTAACAATCCTGGAAAGCAATAAATCTGCAAAGAGGAGGTCACTATGAACAAAGTACTGTTTTGTTTTCTGGCTATTTTGCATTTTTCTTAAGTATACAGAGCCACTAAAATAATATTCTTCAGCTTCCTGTATCTCCTATAAGATCTCAGTCTGCTAAGAAATTCTGAAGAGTGAAAGGCAGATTAATTTAGCAAGGGCAACATCAACGTGAGGAGAAAATAAGTGAACTCTAGAAGTGTAATAAGGACCCGTATCTGAAGGATGAAACATGGTAAATCCAAAGGCTCTCATCTTTAACTGTAAAAGTAATTAATCACTGAAATAAGGGAAACAATGGATTTGGCAAGCCAATATTTTGCAGTATAGGCTAGCTGCCCTCTTGGAAGGCTTGTGCTAGACAAACACAAATACCTAGGTTCAGCATGACTGGCTGAAGCGCAAAGGCTAGTGGGACACAAAAATTTAAATAAATCTAGAAGAGATTGCTTTCATTAATGGGGTTCAGTCCAGATGATCGATGCTTTCTGAAAGTTACATGTTTTTTTAAACGTTCGGTATTATCTAGTACTTCCTCTTGGCCTTCACCATCTTAAATAAAATCACCTTCGCACAATTACTGTTAAAAAACACATTTCATAGAACTTATTTCCAAGTCCAAGGCTCAAATTTGACGTTTGCACTTTCCATTCACATGCAGCAGTACTCAACATCTTGAGCAGTACATCCAAATATGACCCTGAGCTGAAAAGTATTTAAGAATGAGAAATCACAAGGTATTTTTCTAAGACAGAATATCTGCAATATTTGGTTTTGTCAAAATTACATTAGTTCATCTATTTAGTAAATGAATCCCTGGAAATTTGAGTTGATATTACTGGTTTAAAATAAATATTTACTCTCCAACTGCTAAACAATATCCAGATGTCATTCAGTAGCTTACTTAACAAGATACTAGATTTAATTAGCAAAAAGTCCAATAGAACATTACCTCTACAGCTTCCCATCCCCACTGCCTGTACTTTGGGTCATGAGTGAGCCGCCACATGTACATGTGGGTTTCTATGACTTCTGGTCGTAGGATGTAGTATTTTTCATTTTGTCTTGTAGCAATGGCCTCAACACCACCATCAAACCTGAAGGCTTCTGGTCCCAGTTTCATGCCTAGCCAATATAAAAACATGTTAAAATAAAGTCATTATAAAAGGTTTCAAATTAGGTAACCTACCAAATCAACTATCCTTTCATGTGGCACAAAGCTAGGTTACCAAAAAGGTATATAATTTCTGAAAGATACTGCAGGCACCTCCTGTTTTTAATATTTGCAAATAATTTGGAGTAGGAGAGAGCTATTCTTCATCAATGCCTTAAGCAGCAGCACAGTTTGCACAGTGATGCTAATATTTGCATTCTGGAAGACTTCATATAAGTAGCAACATATGAAATTTTGCTTAAAAGATGTGGCTATTTACTTTTCTATATCAAATTGGAAAATACACTCTGGGACCTGAAATGCTGACAGCATTATTTTTATAAGAAGATGAAAGAATCCAAAGAAATTTCCTGCACAGAAATCCACTTGCTTTGTGCAATTCTATTGTTTGCAGCACTGTACCAACAGAACTGAGAATAAAATAATTTTTTGTGCATAAACCTGATTAATAGCTATATTGATGCATAAATGAAAAGGCTCCCTTTCATTTGTGTTCAGCTACACAGAAATTGGTGAAGTGAAAGAAACGCTGTTATGTTAATTACTAGAGTGAGTAGACATGATTCAGGTGCACAGAAATTATATACAGAACAGAGCAGCCATTCTTAAAGTTACTCTTAGAGCAAAGCAGCATTTGCTCAGGAAGGATTAAGAGTTCTCACCATCATACAACCTTCACTCAGTGTTACACAAAAATACCTTCACAGAGTCAAACTGTGAAAATAACTCTGCAATGCAGTACTTACTTGTGCGATCATAGGATTCATGGCAAGTCCTGGCAATTTCAGCACCAAGCTCAATGTGATGGCCCGTCTTGTCATTAGGTGCTCCATCTGCTCCAAGAGCAAACATGCCTCCAGCAAAACAAGTGAGATGTCCCATTTTATGTTCAAGCAGTCCACCCTTCCACTCAGCGATGTATGTCAGCCCTCCGCTTGATTTGCGAATGAGGTGGGTCTCTATGGCCTGCAAAAGCACATGATTTCAAACTCTTTGGTATCATTTGGTAGAGTACGAAGGACAAAGACAAAGTTGACTTGCATGTTGGTTGGTTTTTCTCCATATTGCCTTTGCTTATAAAGTAAAATAGGTAACAACAGCTAGCATAATCTCAAAGTGCACCCAAACCAACACAGATTAGCATACATCAGTAATGATCACTAATTCTGCTACAACTTTGAGCAATTTACACAGTACCTTTTATAAAAATATTGAAAAGACCTAAAAAACACAATTCCAATTTAAAATTCCATTTTAAAATTTCTTTCCCTTTCTACTTTGAGCAATTTCAGGTAATTTCACTTTGAATGATTAGCCATCACTTCAGCTTCCATAATTCCCATTGTATTTCTGACTTAAAGGATGTTGTTATTGATATAATTTCACATCAGTTATATGCAGATATAACTCATATGCAAAATGCCTGACTCAGTGAGTGCACTGAATGATGTTAGACCTCTGAGTCTATAGGGCATTCCCAAAGTCCAATAGGTTTTCCCTCCCCAGACTGAATTCCTCTGTAGTTATCAATCAAGAATAGGGTCTGGAAAAAAACCTAAGCAGAATAAAAATATACATATCTCCTAGACAGAACTAGAAGTTGGTGCTGTTGGGAATGTATGGTCACTGATTACAAAATCCAGGAAAACAACCTTCCTTTATGAGAGGAACAGAATTAAAACATTAGAGGAGATGCAGAAGAGCACATTAATTAGAAGCCCACACAGAAAGCAAGCTATTACTCTTTAAAGGGTAATGGAGAGAAGATGAACAGCGCTATCATGCATTCAGTTAACCAGCAGTACTCTGCTTTATTCTAGTGAAATTGTAAGATCCAGAAAAAGTACTCAACATGCATTATACAACATGAATAAAAGATCAGTACAGAGAACTATTAACAAAAAAGCCATGATTAAAAAAAAAGTGTTATAAAGAGAAGGTATTGATTGTAGTTATTTCTTCCCATTTAAACACCTGTAAAGGTTGTTTTTGTAAGCATGATAAATCTTCTCTAAAATAGAAGCATCAGCAGATTAATTGTACAAGTTTTACTTACTAAGTAGTTTTTGGGGTTTTTTTTTGCCAAGAATGTCACATTGAAAACTACACTGTTTTCTACTAATATTAGTGCAAAGCATTTAGCAAGGATGCCTTCTGCCCACCTCCAGACCCATTATTGTCTTGGAAAACTCCTCCATCTCTTTGTTTCCTCCTTGATTGCATGTTTTTAGCACCAGGTACCAACTGAAAAGCCTACCTAAATTTAAAAGCAGCAGTAAATAATGGAGATTCCTTACTTTTAGCAAACCCTGCATAATTTAACCTATAAAAAGAGGATTTAAATATGAAAGGGAAAAGGTGGAAAAACAGTTTCCTTAAGCATCCAAACCACAGACCCCACTGTGGAAGATGAAAGGATTACAGATGCTGAGTGGGTGTTGAGCTAATTGGTGGCCATGTATTCTAAATGCACATAAAAAAGCTTTTCTGTCAGGTTGGGAAACTAGTAGTGGAATACCTAGATACATTTTAAAAAAATGTTCTTTAAAACATGTATTTTTTGCTCATTTGGGTATAAAAAAATGAATTTATAATTGAAGAACTGATAGAATAGAGTTCAAAGAACCTGCTACAACATGTATTAATGCATAAATAGGCAAAATTTATGAGAAGATAGAAATAACTGGAAAACTTCAGAATCTTTCAGAGCGCTGTTCGCATTTTTATTAAACAGTTTATATTTTGTAATAGGATGTCTTATTGTTAAAAACACACAACATTTTTTTGGGAAATAGCATTCTAAAAAACAAGCTACCTAAAACCAAGTTCAGAAATGAAAAATTTTAATTTAACTACATTTCATTAAACCTTTCAGCATGGTATCCTCATCTCACCAAACCAACAATTCTGACAATACTTAATAACTCTACTGGTCACTTAGCAGTTGAGTCAGAATTTGTTTAAAAAATAAACAAATTCAAAATAGATCGATAGCTACATTTACCTATATTGCAATTTTTTTTCAGTAAAGAATTAATGAAAGACAGAATTAAGTGTTACTGTACTTGACATAAATAACAGTCATCATGCACGTTCAGAACTACAGTAACTAGACCAGAAATGATTCCTGTAGTATGAAAATGGATTTTGTAATACCAATTAGTCTTTCGGAGTTTTTTTTCCCTTCTTTTGGCTCAAATTAAAGTTCAGGCTGAAAAATGATGACTTCCACTTGGGACATTTAAAAATTATTCTAACAAACTGGTGCTAAGAAACTAACAAACTGATGTTAATTGATGCTAAGAATGTCACAAAATAAAAATATATTTCCAAATTAATTATACATGTTTAGTAAAGCAAATCATCTCGGGTTTATAAATGGGTCCTATTAAGAACTAGTATATATGCCTATTAAAAGTTATTTTTATTATGTGTCTTATTTAAAGCTATTTTTATTAGGTAATTATTTGATACATTACAGACTCTCAAGTTGCCTTGTCATACTTTGTACAATCATGGGTCTCTGAGTGCTAGATAATATCTATATCGATGCATATACCTTTATTAACAGCATGCTAGGTAACTCATCATTTCTACCTAGACATGAAATCCAAATAACCTTTTCTCTATGTACAAATAACCTTCAGAAGCCATAAGCCCAAGTGTGCCAAAACTGCAAGTCCATCAGCATTCAACAAACTCTTATTTCAGAAGACAGGAAAACAAATACTGTAACTTGGTAAAGCCAAAATTCTTTTGAACTTATATGCTTATGAAGTAATAGTTGGTAGAAATTACATGATTTAAGCAAAATGACCTGAACTGAACAGCTTTTGTAAAGCATGAAAGGCAGAGGAGTGTCTCTTCCCAGAGGGCTGGTGGCAGCTCTTTTGGTTGTACTGGATGGTGCACCAGAAGAGCTCACAAAACCACTGCTGGTGAGCTTACCGGGGGACTATCAAAAGCTTCAGTTAAATCTGAGAAGCTTCTTCATGGGCCATTTTCACTTTGAGCTAGACACACTGTTTTCATCAGAAATTGGTTTCCCTTCTCTCACCACTATTAATCTACCCTCTGACTGAGAATAGAGACTAGCTGCTTGCCTTGAAACAACATTCTCCGAACACTTGCTAATGAATTTGGAATAATTCCAGCATGGCATTGAAGTGTCAGAATACAACAAATTTGTTAGGTGTGTTCCAGTTATTTCAGAAACTAAACATAAAAACCAAAGTTATTATAAAAAAATCAGCATATTTAGAAAGCGTCAAAAATGCAAATACTTTTAAAAAAAATGCACAACCTGTATGAGCAGAAGATATAAAAGAAACTCCCTAACATTAACTATTGATGAATGTATTCACTTAAATTTTGAACTCCTGTATTGATAACAGTATTTGCAGCACTAAGACGTGGTAAAACCTTCCTTTTCCCCACAAGTCCAGCATAACTATATTTTAATTTCAGAATTTACTTCCAAATATTGTTAAAGCATTACTTTTGGAATGTATAATGTTTGTATAACACATTTGTATAATAAAATATTTTCAAAGTAAGCAATAAACAAAAATCAGTACTCTTTCAATTACAAATTCTGAATCTATCACCAAACTACCAAAGTGCCACCCATCTATTGGAAATTCACAAAATTGCTATTCACATTTTTAATAGTTTTTTCATTACAATATAATGGCAGGTATTTCTGTAAGCAGCACATCAAAATATTTTTCACTGAGTTTCACAAAGGTTACAAGTGCCACCAGGCTGCACTGAACTTTCTGAAAGACATTCATTTTTTTAAATAAGCCTGAGGTCCAGAGCAGAACTAAATGACTAGCTGGAAAACATGGGCAACTGTTTTAAGTATAAAAAAAACCTGAATGCAAAGTTGATAAACTATGAGGGTGAGGAAAAAATACTGTCAGTTTATATGAAGATGTAATAAGGGCCTCTGAACTTGAGCAGTAGGATGGAAAGGTAGGGTTCAAATCTCATAGGAAAATGCTACCTGCAATCTGCAGTGCTGTGGGCGCAGCTCTAGCAGGGAACTCAAGTTACTAAAACAAGTTATTATAAAAGGAGAATAGGGAGTGTGGTGACAAAGATCCACCCAGTGAAAAGCTCTGTTTGCTAGAATTAATTCTGAGTTTCCTACTTAGAATCAATTTACTTTTATTTTGATATAATTAGCTACACACTTAAAAAAGGGACACGTTTATTTGAATTGTAGCTCTAGTACAACCTGGTCCCCACCTACGAATATTTCCTTCCTACACTGCTTGCAGATCTGGTGGTATCATATTTATCACTATAGAGATTATTATTTCATTTTACTGTAATGAATATTCTCAATATAAGCCAATATACAGCATCTGCAAATAATCAAAAAACCTAGAAGAATGTGGTCTTTGTTTAGCTGACAATACGTTATTAATGGATAATTGTTTGGAGCTGGTATGGTTTTTCTTTCTAATTAAATGGAAATTTCATGTTACTGTTTTCCAGAATGTATTTCTACAATTCAAATAGAAATTTATTTCTTTCCATCAAGGTAAAGCAAAGAGGCTGTGCAACACAAAAGGTTTCTGTGGTGGGTTGACCCTGGATGGATACCAGGGTCCCACCAAAGCCACCCTATCACTCCCCTGCTCAGAGGGACAGGGGAGAGAAAATATAATGAAAAACTTCACTCCTGATTGCTCTCTCTCCTCCCCTCCACAGGTGCAGAGGGACAAGGAATGGGGATTGTGGGCAGTCCACCACACGTTGTCTCTGCCGCTCCTTCCTCCTCAGGGGAGGACTCCTCACACTCTTCCCCTGCTCCAGCGTGGGGTCCCTTCCAAGGGAGACAGTCCTCCATGAACTGCTCCATTGTGAGTCCTTCCCACAGGCTGCAGTTCTCCACAAACTGCTCCAGAGTGGGTCCCTTCTGCGGGGTGCAGTCCTTCAGACACAGACTGCTCCAG